CGTGCTCCCTGCTGCTGCTCTGCAGCGCTCTGCTCGCCGGCCGGCTGCCCTCACTGCCTCACACCTGGCTTCATAACCCTGGCACCTTGTTTCCTTGCCCTGGTGCTGTGAGGAAGGTACCCTGGGGAGGATACAGCAGCTCGTTTAAGTGTTCTGTGAGTTTCCTCTAGCAAATACCCTGCCTGGCAGACGGGTCATCTTGGAACCAGTGTTTCTGTGTCCTTCCAAAGCCCCTGCCCGGCTGCTCCCTTTTCTGTGCCATTAAAAGCTGTTGTGTGTTTCCAGGATTGTGACAGAGTTTGCTACAGTGTCCTGAAAAGAGCCTTGGTTCAGCGTCTGCTTCAGGAGACATGTCTGCCTGAGGCCTCCTGTGTGCCCTTATTTGACTCTCCCTGTTGGCTTTGCAGCTGGAGGAACATGTTGCGCGTCTCCGGGAGGAGCTGGACCGGGAACGGCAGGAGCGCAACTACTTCCAGCTGGAGCGTGACAAGATTCACACCTTTTGGGAGATCACCCGTCGGCAGCTGGAGGAGAAGAAAGCAGAGCTGCGGAACAAGGACCGGGAGATGGAGGAGGCAGAGGAGAAGCATCAAGTGGAGATCAAGGTGGGAGGGTGAGCAGGTTGGGACCTGGTGTGAGTGCCAGGACTGGGCAGGAGCTGTGCCCTGAGCCCGGAGAGGAGGGCAGGGAAGGGAGGAAGAGGAGGAGATGGGCAGGATGCAAACCAGGGCATTTCAGCCAGCAATGAAATCCAGGGGAAATTCCTGTCAGCGCCTCCTGAAGGCCCTCGCCTGGCCTGTGGCTTGTCCCTAGGTTTACAAACAGAAGGTGAAGCACCTGCTGTACGAGCACCAGGAGAACCTCACCGAGCTGAAGGCGGAGGGCACGCTGTCCATGAAGCGGGCCCAGAAAGATCACTGGGCTCAGGAGATGGAGCTGCGGAAGGACGTGCGCTCCTTGAAAGTGGAGCTCAAGGAGCAGGAGCTGGCCAACGAGGTGGTGGTGAAGAACATGCGCCTGGTGAGTCCGTGCCGGGAGGGACGGCAGGTGAAGCTCCCCTGTGGCGCAGGGGCCACTTCCCAGGGCCGCCCAGGCTGCCGGCCCCGTTGTCCAGGCAGTGAGTCCAGGCCTGCCGGGGCACGGGAGCGCCGCGCAGGCTGCGGAGCTCCTGTGCTGGCCTGTGCTGCCTCTGTTTTGCTGAGGCACAGTTTGGTTGCAGAAAGGATGGGAGCCCCCAGCCTTGTTGCGTGGGGTGCAGTGACCTCAACGCTTGGTTACCAGCCTCTAACATGGAGTTTCTCTGTGACAGAAACAAGAGGAGGAGATCACGCAGCTCTGCAGTGACTTTGAGAGACAAGTGAAAGGTGAGGACGTGCGGGACACCCTTTTGTCAGCGCGCTGGGGGAGGCACCTTGGGGCTCTGCTGCACTGCTGGGCTCACTGGAACAAAACGGAGCACCTTGCTGAAAGGGGCCATATTTTTCCACCCCCC